AGGCAACATCCTGGAACTCAACCCAGAGAAGGTCTACCAAGTTATTCCCCTGTGTCCCAGCAGGATCTGCAGGGGTGGAGTCCAGTTCCGATCGAAACCGAGCAATTTTGTCCGCCAAGAACTGACTATATTCCTCAGCCTTTCCCTGTATGGGGTTCCCCGTCTCCCTCCTATTTAGGAGGGAGCGGGTTATCCTGAACAGGGCGGCTGGGCGAGACTCGGCGGACGCTACCAAGGAGGCAATGTGTGATCTTTTGGCGGTTCTCAATGCCCAAATATACTCCTTGGTGCAAGCTGTCAACAGTGCTCGGTTCGATACGGACCTGTCGGATCTCCACCGGTGCTCTAGGCGTCTCCTCCGGCGCTTTATCTCGCGGAGCTCCTCGGTGAACCAAGGGGGTCTCCGCGAGCCGCTGACCCGGAGGGGCCGTAGTGGCGCAATTCGGTCTAGAGACTCAGATGCAGTTTGTCAAACATGTACGAAATAACAGGTAAAAGTATAAACATGGACATGAACAAAGAAAATGGGTACGAATAAATGGGGACAATAGGACAGGGACAGTAGGCACACCAGTGTGCTTATGCATGCCCCCTACAGACCTCTTAGGAAAGGGGTGAGGTCCACACCAGACAGTTTAAGGTTAAAGTTATGGGGGTTTGAAGATGTAACAACAGAGTAGGTAGAGCATTCCAGGCATTGATCACTCTGTTGCTGAAATCATATTTTCTGCAATTGAGTTTGGAGCAGTTTACCTTTAGTTTGTATCTATAGTTTGCCCATGTATTATTATGGTTGAAGCTGAAGTAGGATTGACAGGTATGTTGTAGCAGACAACTTTGTGTCCTATGCTTAGGTCAGACCTTAGTCAGCGTAGTTCTATATTGTCCAAGCCCAAAATTTCAAGCCTGGTGGCATAAGGGATTCTATTGTGAGCAGAGGAGAGGAGTACTCTTCTTGTGAAATACCTCTGGACTCGCTCGATTGTATTAATGTCTGATATACACTGTAGATTCCAGATAGATGAGCTGTATTTGAGAATTGGTCTGGCAAAAGTTTTGTATGCCCTAGTTTGCAGTACAATGTTACCAAAGAAGAAGCAAGAGGGAGATGCCAAAGAGGCCATACTGGTTCTTTTCCTCTTACGATATCAGCATAGAATTTATGGCTGACAAATTATGACAAGGAATTGTTGGGATACTATTGGATATAAGAATGCTTCAAAAAAATAAAAAAAGGAGAGAGATAATTGTATTGTGCCTTTCCTTCTCTACTAAGCACTTGGTTAGCCCCCTTGGAAAATAATCAACTAAAGTTGCAAGGCTTGTTTATCAGCATCCCTCCTCCTTAGGAAATAAGCGAGATGATGATGTCCTTCTGGTCTTTCTAATATCAGATTCACTCTGAGTTCTGTAGTTTTCCAGTTCTATCACATCATCTTCCTTTCCATAGAGAATCAACCCACCCCAAAATTGGGCATCAAGACTTCCTAGTTCCGTTTCTGACATTCTCTGGCAAGTGGAAGAGAGAATAATCCCCCCCCCCCACTATCTGAGATCCATAATTTTGTAAGTATGAACAATTCTGTTTCAATCAAAAAGAAAACAACTATAGTACTGCATTGAAATAGACACACTGGAGATAGTGGTTTGTCCAGATTTTGTCCTTAGCCACATTATTTATTGCCTGTCTTTCACCAGCAGCAAGCCAAGAAACCTTTTTAAAAATGAAAGAATAGGACTGGATTTTGTAAAATCATCAGTAGAAGGCAAAATGGATGGATGAATGAAAATAGACATTTTCCTGTCAAAGAGAAACTGGCTGAGCTGAGTGAAGGGAATCAAATAGGAAATTAGTCTGGAATCCATATGTGGACATAAGAGGGTAAAGTCTGACACCCCTTGAGTGCCATTGAAGTTTATCTAGCCTGTCTTAGGTGCAAACTATCAAACAGCTAATTGAACTTTTTGCATGTGGATCTGTTTGTTTACAGCTGTCATTATCTTCATTGTAGGCACATGCCCTTGTAATACTCCCTCGACTGAAAAACATAGCAAAATATTTTGCCCTAGTTGCCCTGGGCAGGCAGAAGTAGTTTCAATGAGCAAACTGAACAATTTTTCCCTATGATATTGGCATATCTTTTTCTGGGTAATTCATTGTAAGACAGACAATGCAACTTGATTGAAATTCACACTCTAATCTTTTCCAAATCCTCTCTGAACTCCCAAGTAGTCCTTGTTTGACAAGGTTGAAATAGCTAAGAACCTAATAATGAATTAAAGATGGATATGCTTATTTCATCAAAATGTGTCTTCTGGAATTACTGGCTTTCTTTGATAGAAGTTTAGTAGAACTATAGTTTCTTACCAAAGTCTGCCTTAATAAGAGCTTATAGTGACTGCTGACTTTTTGCTTCATGGAATATTTCCAAATGGTTCTCAACAATAATATTTTAATGACACTCAACTGCAAGAAGAATAGCCAGAGCAAGCTAGGATATCTTATTAGGGAACTTCATTTGCTGAGTAAGGTGAAATTTATGATTGCCTCTTGTGCGGTGTTACCGGTATAGAGAACATGAGGGAAATCAATCCCTGAAGTTGAAATTACTAGCTAATCTACAAGCTGATAAAAATACAAATAGATCCAATGGCGTCTCTTGTTCACACAAATTAATATTCATGCAACACAGAAAAGCAACCCAAACAAAGAAAAATAGTAGTTTGCAGAGAGCACTAAGAACTCAACAGTACAACCTAAACTATACATTTTCATAAGTATCACTTTACCTAGGGTAACAGAAGTACACAAGTAGCCTAGGGCAACAATTATTTTCAGTTCCTTAGAACTCTTCATCAGACAAGATGGTCAAAATAACAAAATTTAAAGATGAATCGCTGAGTAGAGTTCAAATTCCTCTTCTAATACAAGGAATTGTAACTATGAATTCAATTTCTAGATGATCTCTGTTAAGTAAGTTGAAATTCTTTAGATTTTCATTCTTGAATTTAATCAGTATTGTATTGAATTTATTCAGTATTCAGTGTTAAAGATACTGCTATAAGAATTATGCCATTAAAAAAGCACTATGTAACATGGTCACTCATAATTGATAATTGACTGAAAATAATGATTTGGAAAGGTCAGAAAATAAAAAAGCTAAATTTCCTCCGTCACCAACTGTGTGTTAAGTACAATACCATTTTCTCAGTACAATACTCAAAACTTCTGATGAAATAAACAGTAATCCCTGAACATTTATAGAATAATTCAGTTCTTAAGGTGCACCAAGATCCCATTGTATTTTCCTGGGTTGTAACTTCAACTGCTTTTGCTTCACTCATTTTCTCTGGGTATAGGCATCAAAGTAACCCTTTCCAATTAGGAAATATATGATGAATATAACACAAGTTCACGGTAAAAGCAACTGAATACAGTTTAGAATGAGAACAATATTTCCTGAATGCATAAATAGTGTAATCATTAAAACACTTTTAGATGGAAAAATATTTAAGCATACCCTAAATTTTGATTTGTGCAATGAGGATGGGGAGAAAATCTCTACCTCCTGTAGAATGGCCTGCATAATTCACCTGAAACAAGAAACATTTTCAATGTTTTCTTAAACATTGAACATATATATGATTTTTGCTAATGCTGTATATTTCTCTTTTTCTTGAAAAAAAGTGAAGTGCTAAATCTCCAGTACCAAATATCTGTGTATATATTTATGTCATACACTTAATAGGTATACATATACTCTTAACATTACTTACTTCCTGCGAAGTTGGATTCTAGGGCCCAGTTTTCCTAGCAATGACAAATCCAGCAGTGATATATACCTGAGCAATATAAAAACGGTGTCTCCCATTTTTTCTAAGTTTTACCAAAGCATTGACCATTTCATCTTACCTTGTCAGTGACGCATTCAGACTCTTCTGTCAGAAAGTAAACATTCCCACTTTCAGCCATAAGGATGGTAGTGTCTGTAGTAGATGAAGATCTTGGCCGGCCTTGATGTTGATGCAGGATTGCTGTCAGGCTGCTATCCTGGGGAGCCCTGCGCACAAGGTGTGGGCTGCTTTTTTGTGGTTCTACAGAGCTACTCTTGGCTCGGCGACTGCCACTATGCAAACTGGTTCCTCTCTTGATGGAAGGACGGGAGCGAATCTGCTGTAACACCCTGTTGAAGGCAGTGGGTCGAGCTGGGAGATCATGGAGAGACACAGCATAAGAGACACGATGCATCTCAGGAGAGCGTTCTTTTTCATCAGGGGAGTCATGATCAGACATGCCATGGTGTTGCTGGGATGACTCCTGGGAATTCTGGTGCTCCCGTTCCCGGGACCGCCTACGACTATGGAAAAGATGTTTGAGTCCATGACCAAACATAGAACCTTCAGACAGCTGTTGTATCTTCTGTTTAAGGAAAGAAGACAAAATATTGGAAAGATAGTAATGGAAGGAGCTACATAAAATCTGTTGCAAAACACAGATGAAATATGAAAATATGAAAAACCCTACCCTGCTCATGCCACCCCAAATCACAATTTTGCAATTGTCTGTTGTCACTGACTGGTATCATTCTTTTGAAGTTCAGATTTCATCCATATGAAGTGCACATCATAACCAAGAAGCCTGGACACTATGCTTCCTCATTACATTAGTAAATTCCTGTGTTGCCCTATATTCAATATATGAAACAGTACCCCCTTTGAAAGGTAGCCAACGTCAGCTGCTATGGAAGTCTATGGAAAAAAACATGGAGAAGGAATCCAGAGACCAGTAGGAAAATGCCAAGGGCAGAAAAAATATGCATTAAATCTAGAAAGATGCAAAAGCATTCCAAAAGACTAACTCCTCATCTGACTCCCTCAGATATCAGAGGGAAGGAAAAAAGATGTGGACAGACTTGCAAGAATAAGTTATCTAAATAAAGTTTAGTTCTATTTTTGTATGTAGTCTGCTTCCTAGTATGGTTCATCTTGAAGGGGTGACATCAGCAATAGTTAGAAACTTGTGATGAAGAAGTTGGAGCAGAGAGTAAAGAGACAGGCTGTGATGGAGACAGGAAAGATGCATTGCCAAGGCAACAGTCAGATAATGTGGCGCGAGCCTATATCAAGAAAGAGTTTTACAAAAATTCTCAGAGAACTCTCCTCCCACCATCATATTAGAAAAAAGGAAAAAAGAGGAGAACCACATTTGGATTTGTAAGATTCTGTTACTATAACTCTTCTAATAATTGTCATGTTAGGTCCACACAGTTTCTTGTAAGGCTGATAGTAGCGAAACTCTAGGAGGATGAAAATTAATGCTTAGGGGTAAAGGGCAAGAAGACATAAAAATCATATGATTAGAAGAGTTAAAATTGAGCACTCTTTGGCATCATAGGGACATATTGTTATAATGTAACTTACTACCTACTCACCATGCTATTTTGTTTTGGGATAAGCAAGGTTATGTAAAGCATAGAAAAGAAATAAAGAGCCAAAGGAATTAGATATAAGAAGAAAAGAAAATATAGCAAAATGTATTTTATATACTATCACCATTCACTATTGTTCTCCATTCCTAAACTTACAATCATCTTGCTTCCCCTACATTTATATATTGATATTGTCATTTGTTCTTTCACATTGGTATATTGTTCCTTCTAAAGATACATTTCTTATGTGATGTCAAACTTACTAAATCATGAAAGTCATTCATCATTGCTATGTGTCATTTGAAACATGGTATTTAAGGAATATCCTGGGGATATTTTGAATATCAAAGCAGCGCACAGAATCCACAATCAAAAGTCTAACTTGTGTGACAACAATATTGTGATCACTTTTGATTTGCCTTGTAAATCTTAACAATATTTCCAAATGAAATATTCCTTTTTGCCTTTCTTAGGTAAAGAAAAAGGTTCCCCTCGCATATACGTGCTCGTCATTCCTGATTTTAGGGGGCAGTGCTCATCTCCATTTCAAAGCCGAAGAGCCAGCGCTGTCCGAAGAGGTCTCCATGGTCATGTAGCCGGCATGACTAAATATCAGTGCACGGAACACTGCTACCTTCCCACCAAAGATGGTTCCTATTTTTCTACTTGCATTTTTACATGTTTTCGAACTGCTAGGTTGGCAGAAGCTGGGACAAGTAATGGAAGCTCATTCCATTACACAGCGTTAGGGATTTAAACTGCCGAACTGCCTTTCTGATTGACAAGTTCAGCATCTTAGCCACTTAGCCACCATGTCCCTTGCCTTTCTTAGTATGATTTAATTAGAAAGCAGCCCCGAAAGCTTGATCAGTCTGTTACATATATAGTGTTAACTCTACTTTTGTTTCTTTACTGCTCTCCATTGGCACCAGCTATTGCAAAGCCACAATTTGAAAAGCCTAAGGGAGAAGTTACTCTAGGGAAGAGCAAAGTGCTCTGTAGGCTCTGTTGGTTTTGCCAAACCACAAGGCCAGCTAAGGTTACAGATATTGGAAGGTAAGCCTAATAGAGATACATCATATAAATAAAAAAACCAAAAGGAAAGAAAAGTTCCCACAGTATTCATAAATGAAGGGTAATGAGATTATAAAAATAAGCTGTTCCAAGAAAATTTGCCTTTTGCCATTGACTGAGGACAATTTTATTAATAGCAATGATGGTGGTGCTATTGTTTTATGATAAAAATAAGCAATAAGCATTCAGGAAAAGATGCAAATTGTGGGACACAAATCACTTATTTGTTCTATTTTCTACTTGTACAGAGTCTTCACTGCAACAGGAAGCAAGAAAAGGTTAATAATGGGTCAAGTCAAGAGTCATATACAAAAAAGTGATCATGTTACAATACATTAATCAACAGAGGATAATGGAATGCTATAAAATTCCATTAAAAGCGTAGCTATTGTTTCCTTAAGGGAAATGATGTCTCAGTGGCTAAGACGCTGAGCTTGTCAATCAGAAAGGCTGGCAGTTCGTCGGTTCGAATCCCAGTGCTGTGTAACAGAGCTCAGCTCCTGTTACTTGTTCCAGCTACTGCCAACCTAGCAGTTCAAAAGCATGTAAAAATGCAAGTAGAAAAATAGGGACCACTTTGGTGGGAAGGTAACAGCGTTCCGTGCACCTTCAGCATTTAGTCATGCCTGCTACATGACCACGGAGATATCTTCAGACAGTGATGGCTTTTTGGCTTTGAAACAGAGATGAGCACAGCACCCTAGAGTTAGGAACGACTAGCACATATGTGCGAGGGGAACCTTTATCTTTATTGTCTTCGTATTAAAGTTTAAAAACTTTTTAGACCTCCCTGCATCTTTCTAAAGTTCTTCTCAAGGTTTTTAAGTTTTTCAAGTTACTAATTCATTCTATAATGGATGTAGAGAGATCCTGACATATGGTTGTGAACATATGGCCTGTGTGCGTATACGTATTTGTGGATTGGAACAGTAATCCACAAAATATGAAACGACAAATAGATCAGACTATTTCCAATTCTGTCCCACCCTATAAAGTGAAACGTAAGTGGGATAAATAGCTCTTCCTGCATCAGACTAGTAATATGTGGCAACACCCCCACATATACAATATGGATGGATGATTCTCTGTTATAGTATTCTCAACCCTATCATGAATACAAATATTATTAATTTTTTTTTTGTCAACTAGCCTCATGTCATTGCAAACACACTGGTATTTCATCCCTTTTGCTAGTTAAATAAGTTAACAGTAAAAGATTCACCAGGGACAGCCCTTTTTACATTTGTATTTATAGACAGAATATAGGTTTTAGAATTCCAGAATTTAATATTAACTACCCTTTCACAAAGTATCTGAGGCTAAGATATATGAAAAACAGAATCCAGCATTTTGAACAAGATATAATTTGTCACCCATATCCTACGGATTGTTATCTTAGAAAATTATTTTTGAAAGAGGGGGAAATCTCTCTACTGAATTGTTGCTTTGGACATCACAATTTAAAGTTTATTCTATTTATAGTGTTTCTATGGAAACAGTGTACATAAGATAAAAAAGAACTACAAAACCTACAGATTTCTCCCATCACGATACAAGATGGATTTAGATTCTTCATCTGCCTTTAAAAAGACTCATGGGAACCAAAATGAACAGTTCCCACATTTTAAAAATAACTAAAGGAAAACATTAAAAAGAGAAAGTTGGTGACAGAGAAGGAAAAACAAGTTATTTTGACAGCAACATACAAAGACTAACTTAATCTCATTTTTTCCATTAAAAGGGGATGGGATGGGACTGGATTGGGAGTGACAAATGACAACTAAATTGCAAAACAAATAAATGACAGCTGAAATTTTTGTTTTGTACATTATTCAGGAAGACACACAACACAGAAAGAGAACAAATGGTCATACCAAATAACTCAGCCTCCAGCCTTGTGTTGGAACTACAACTTCCAGAACTTCCCACATTACAGGACTCTGCTGGGTATTGTAGTCCCAACACATCTGCAAGATACCAGCAAACAGCAACTTACTTACTTGACAGAGAAGCAACTGTTTTTGAAAAATACATTACTTCTGGATAATTGACTCCCACAGAATTTGATTACAGACATCATGGGTTTATTCACAATACGAGTACTGAAGTTTAGCAGTAATGTTTCTTGCTGAATTGTACCAGAATATTAAGCAGTATATTACTTATTAAATGGTCAGCTGGAAACCAAACCAACCTGATCTCTTTTTTTTTGATAGAATGATCACATTAGTCAGCAATAGGAAATGTAGCAGATGTAGTGTACCTTGATTTCAACAAAGCATCTGACAAACTTTCACTGCAATTCTAGTAGAGAAAATGGCAAAATGAGGCCTGGACTAGACTACTATTAGAAAAATACAAAGATGGTTAAATACCTATGCCAAAGAGTATATCAAGCTTGAGGGAAGTATAGTTGAATTGCAATAGGGTTCCATGCTTGTCCAATGTAAGTATAAATAAATACAGTGTTATGGGAACACAGAAATGCAATGCTGATGCCAGAATGGCATAAATACTGCAGATGGAAGAATCCTAATCATATCCAAAATGAGGAAAAATAACAGTTTTTTTTTTCTTTAACAATGTAAGTATTTTTATCACACTAATTTTATTGCACTAATTTTTGGTGTTTTGTTCTCTCTCTTTTGGGCCATTTTTTAAAAAGCAATACAAATAACCACCACCACCACCCCCAATTGCTATGTACTTCACAGGAACTATTGAAACAGATTGCATGGACACCTTTTACAGATGAAGTAGTGATGAAGAGCACTGGATGTTGAACTCCATTCAACAACCACAACTGGGACCATGGGTTATTAAGACAAATGGTTGCTAAGTGAAACCAGGATTGTGCTTATGATCTTCCTTCAGCTATCCTTTGCTTAATAGACCTACAAAGGTTATAAAAGTGAGG